AAAAAAAACTCCCCTCATGCAAGACAAGGTTTAGCATTTAAAAAAAAAATGTTACCGCTGGTGTTGCTAATTTTATTTCTTGTCACATAAGCTGCACTTAAAGGTTTTAAGATTATTAGAATATACAGTAGATATATTAAACATAGATGAAAAACGAAGTACTCGATGATGTCTGTTGCATGGTTTGATTGTACTGTGTTTGAATCATGGCAATGCATTGATGAATTATCCTGCCTCCTGTATATATGCATCCTGTTGCTGCAGGAGGAATGTCTAAGTGGCTTCTGAGCACTTGAAATTTTGGAGTCGGGCTACACAGATGGACGCGTAGTTGGTAAATGTCACTATCTTGTATCGTCCTCTTTTTTCCTCCCCATCTGTCCTCTTATCGGCCCCGAGTTAACATTGTGCTGAACAATGTACATACAAAGAGTGATGGTGTTCACTTTTTATAGATATTTGTACATGCAAACTAAAGATTGGAATTAAAACTTTTTACCACATGTGAAAAAAATCTTTATTTGGACGTTTATTTTCGTGCAAGTCGTTGTATTCATTTATTGATAGGATTTTTTTGTATTTTATTTTACATAAAGTGCCTTTTTTGGGTTTTATTGTTGTAGAAATGAGGGAGGAAAGACACAATACAGGAACTTGCCCAGATTCAAATTCACATAATTAATAAGTTAAATAGATCCATAATAGAAAAGCATGAAACAGAGTACTGACTGTGCTCATTTGTGTTGCATTTAAATTACAAATCTTCTCGTAATTAATGATTTGTTTTATTATCTTTAAGGAGAGTCGGCACAAAGTAAAAGCTGATTCTGTGCAGACAAACTTTGCACAAAGCCACGAAACTTGACTTACATTCTAGAAAAGATTCAGAATACAAACATATTCATATAAATTAGATATAAAATGATGCACAAAACGTGTAAATATCTCTGAAACAGGACTTCCATAAAACACACACATGGAGTCTGGGGTTTTAATATTTTATCATTTTAAGAATTCTATTACTTTAACGGGTTGTATAAGCATGATGCGTGGTTTAAAATACACCAGATGCTGCACAGTGACTTCCAAGTGAAACAAATAAACATAAATTAGGGACATCTTGTCAGTTTTAAGCGTCATGTTTCATAAAAAACAGCTACCGCTACTCAACTGTGCCGATTCCTTTCACAGTCTGAGAGAAGCTAGAATGGATTTAAATCTATACTGAGAGATACATACGGCTGTGATATATGCATTTCCTCTCCTTCACCCTACGCTCACCTTTCACCAGACACATTTACCGCTGCCTCGAACCGCCACCGACTTTCTGCTTTCTGTCTTTTTTTTTTTTGCTGATCCTGTTTGACTCAGTTTTACCTTCAGGACGCAAATGGCCACACCTAGTGAGAGAGAGAGAGAGCGTGTGTGTGTGCGTGGTTGTGTGTGTGTGTGTGTGTGTGTGTGTAGGGGTGGCGGGGGCAGAGACAAAGCTTGCATGTACCTCTGAGTGGGTTTTGTGTATGCGGCCTGTATGTCCGTGTGTGTTGGGGAGGGGATGGCTCTGTCCCCATTGAGACATATGCCAAGGGCCGTTAAAGAAGCCTTTGTGCTGCTGGCGGACGGAGGTAGGAAGGCAGCCACCGGGCCTCTGATGAAAACCTGGATGGGGGGTGGAGGGTCTGCGAAGGTGGGTGTCAATGGCAGAGTCGTTAGGCAGAAAATCAAAAAGCCATCAGACTTGTTTGGGAGACGATTGAGCTACTCAGCAGGGGGGGGGGCGGATTGAAGAATCCAGCGCTGCTACTTGATCAAAGCTGAGAACATCCACCGGAAACTGCACCGGCGTGTTTAATCTCACTTTTAGCGTTTGAAAAGCATTACAACAAAATGATCTTTTGGTTTTGTGGAGAGGCTGCACACATTATTCACAACAGGCTTTGCAATTTCTACGATTCCCACGAAGAAGACACCAATTTTGGGGGAATTTGTACCTAAGAGAGTTCCTCAGAAGTGCTTTATTTTTAGAAACCACATGAAAACGACAGCTCTCGAGCTCGCAAGTACGTCAGTGCGTCGAGGCCACAAGTATCAGTCGTGAGCCAACGTACATCTGTGAATAGATGATGTGTCAAGAAAGAGGTTTATTTGAACTTCACAACTAACTCCAGCTTCATGATTTCAGACATGAAACAAAAACAGCAGACGGGGGGACCTGAGACTACAAAAGAGTGATTGATTGATTTAGGGTGTCGTCTTGATCACAAAGTCACAGCTACACATAAGCTGCTCAGACGTGAAATCTCATCTGTGGCAAGTTTCTATCTGCCGGCGGTGGTCAATCACATGACCAGAGGCTTGTACAGACCAACGGGAACAGGTCTCAGCCTGATGTGTCCAGTTTTGCAAAGAAGATCCACTAGAAAATATGAGAAGCAAACAATTTAATGAGTCACAAATGTGGTTGAACAACTTTAAAAACAACCCGGACACTTTATAGTGTGTTTTGATCGTCCCACTCCAGTCAGAGTTGCTGTTTTCTTCAGCGGTGCGACTGTTTGAGGTGAGCCTCTGCCTCAGTATCTGCCGGCTTTTCTTTTATCTCCAACTTTCTCCCCTTCACTGTTTGACCCAAACCTGTTCTTCAAGCAAGCGAAGAGGCCACTTATGGAGAACTAAAGACAAGATCTGAGACATGTGAGGGGATGGGTGGGGGGTGGTGGTGTTTCCATACTAAATCCCTGCATGCCCCCCCCTCCCCTCCCTCACACATCTCCTCCTCACTGTACCGAGCTATTCAGCGCTGACCCCCAGCCCTCCTCCTCCTCCCTCTTCCTTTTGGACACCCTCAGAGCTCTGTGCTCTGTTGTCCCCTTTCTCTCTCAGGCCCTGCCTAAAGTCTGCCATCTCTCTTGCTGTTTGTCTTTTGCATGACAATTCATCTCCCAAGTCCATGGCCCATGCAGGACAATGCTCGGATAGCTGGGAGTTTGATGTCTTTTAAGCTATTGACCAGGGCTCTCGCGGTGTCCCTGAGGTCCCCCTGTTGTGGACCTACGCTGCTTTGTGTCAGCGAGAGCAGAGAGAGTGACTTTTAGTCTTAGTGTGAGCATGAGGAGATTTCAGAAGGGTTGGGGAGAGAAACACCAGAGTGCCTACTGACCTGCAGCAGTTACTGTATATTTCTGCAAGAAATCATTATATTTCCTTGTAGTTTCCCATTTCATACCCCATTAAGGCCTCACAGCTCTTCTTGAATAATAAATAAATGGAACAATCTGCTCTAATCATTTCATTATAAGGGGCCACAAGGACAAGATCATTAAAAAAAATGGAGGATTTTGGTGTTTGTTCACTGAGATCTGGCTACCACATTTGCAAACGGTAATCCAACACAGCTTGCTTATTGCACCTGTAGACACCTCAGACCAGTTTTTTTTTGGAGCTTTAGGCCACTTCAGACTGGATGCCAGGACTGGACCCGCAGACCAGAGCGAAACTACAGCTCGGTGTGTGTTTCAGATGACGGGGGGGAGGTTGTGGGTGTGGGGCGGAATCAAAGGGTTGAGACTTATTGTTTCAATGTGAAAAGGAGCTAATGGCCGACCATCGCAACTCGGGATCTGAAATCCACGGGGTGCCCCGGGGCCAGGTCGCACAATGGCACCCCCTCTCCCTTCCCGCAGTGCGTCTTCCTGCCGCAATCTGCGGCCAACGATTCTCGCTGGGGGAGCGCATCTGCCCTGATGCTCCGACCATCCAGGCCCCTGAATGGGCCCCCGATCAGGGGCTTGAATAGGAGAAGTTCACCTGAATGCTGTTTGATGGTTTTATGATTTGCCTCGTTTTTTCTTCTTCTGTTGTAACAAGAAACTCGGCGTGAAAAAATGCCAGAATCTCCGCAGAGGTTTGCGCAAACTCGGATCTACTGTACGAATAATACGCAAGACACTTTTTTACAACTACGAATTAAATCACAATTACTTAAAAAAAAATCACAAACATTAAAAAAACATGCAAACTTTATCCTCACTTAAATCTGGGTGAAAACATGTCCCAACACAAACCTCTAACACTTCTTTATCTGCATCCTTATGAGTGTAAAATTCATCCTGTGTGGTTTTATCTCATCCAGCATCACACTTCCAGTCCACATCAGGGCTCTGTTAAGTATGTTTTGCCTGATTTATGAGCTCAATACATTATTAAAACCATCAAATTAACCTGGACCCTCATTGTTTCTAATTAAACATGCTCTGATTAATGAAGTTAATTTGTTTGATCACAGTTACTGTGGATGTTATTTTTCCTAAATGGATGGATTCAGGTCACACTGACAGGAATTTTCATATCAAAGCCATCTCTTTAAAGTGGAATAATTTAAAGCAAACCCAGTGTTATAATTCATGTATGAGGTTATGGTGTTACAGTATGTATGAACAGGAGCAGTGGCCTGTTTAGCACCATAAGAATGCTTTATTTATTTATACCTTTAATTATTGGTTTTAAACTGAATTATCAAAATTTTCCATTGCATTGTAAAAAATATTTCTTAAATTCACTTTAAACATATAAATGTAGGTAGTCTGCTGTAAAGTTAATGTGAAAACACGCCCATTGCTCTGGGAGGAATCAAGGTCATTTACAAATTCACCATCAGCTGTGCGCAATTGTCTGCGCCAACCAATGGCTGAAGAGACGCTGTGATGTCTCACACCCACAGCTGTGATTAGGAAAACCTGTGGATCCGGAGCAGTAGAGGGACATTTGAGCTTGAAGGTGAGTTGGAGACAAAGCTTCATGGACTAGGCCGTAGAGATTGGTGGTTACATTGCACCAGAACGGCAGCTTAGGCCTCGGTTTTTTGCGCAACTTTTCTCTGGTCCTGGTTTTCTTTTATTTAATTTTTTTTGATACTTGAAACGGATTAACATATTTAAAACCAGCCACAGCTAACGTTATTTTCCAACTTTGGAATCGCGCTTTCCACGTCCTACCGGAAGATGTCTGAAAGATCGCAGAGTCCTGAGTGCCAAAGCCGGCCCTACGACTACAGCCGGTCCAACCCCTGCACCCAGGCTCTGGGTCAGGAGGGTCTGGGGAGCGCTGCGCCGTTCCAGGTTCCTCACGGTGTCCTGCCAGACCCGGGCCTCCTTTACAACAAAAACACCTACGCTGGTGTCACACCCGCTTCTGCGCAAACCTTCTTCTCGTTTCCACACGTCACCAGCGACTACCGAGGACCCGACATGCAGGTTGGAGACTTTGTCCAACCCAAACATTGGTACCCCTTCGCTGCGCCCGAGTACACCGGCCAGGTACCCGGTGTAACAGCAGCTACCCAGCCCACAAACGTCAGTCCCCCCATAGCCGAGACCCGGGAGCAGATCAAACTGCCCCAAATAAAAACCGAGAAGGACGCCGGGGTTCAGTACTCCACGGAGGTGAAGGCCCAGCAGTACCAGACAGCGCCAGCCTCCGCCGCCATGCCTCCCGGAGTCTTCTACCCCACGGCCTGGAACCCGTCCTTCTGGCCCGGGATCACCCACATCCAACCCTCTGGTGGGAATAACCAAAACCCCGCAACGTCCTCGGCGTCGTCCCCGTCCATGTCCCCTTCACCTCCGAGCAACGGCATTCCAGGGAACACGTTTTTCAGCGTGAACGCAGCCCAGGCCCCCACCGAGCCCCCGAAGGAGGGTCAGGTCTCCAGCACACGGAGCAGTGGCTCCTCCAGCGGGGGGTGCAGCGATTCTGAAGAGGTAAGAGGACTCATTGAATCCAATTTAAACAACATTAATAGCGTGAGAACTAATAATTAGCAATCAATTCTCTCCATTATAAGGGAACCTGGTTTTCTACAAGTTTCTGGTGTTTGAGTGTCACTGTTTCTCTCTTGTGCAGGAGAGTCTTTCCACTGAGGAACTGGAGCAGTTTGCCAAGGAGCTGAAGCACAAGCGCATTACGCTGGGTTTCACCCAAGCAGATGTTGGCCTTGCCCTGGGTAACCTCTATGGTGAGTTCCAGTATTGAGATTGTGGTTTGTAGTGCTTTCAGTCAAATCATAAGGGGTGGAAGGTATGAGTGTATGAGAATCCTTGTGGGCACATTGTTTGAAATGGTTTTGATGTGCAGATTCGTTTGAGGGTTGGGGCCTCTGGCTTATCATGGTCAGTGGTTTTTGGATGCAGCAAAATCTTGATGTGGTTTGTGTCCGTTTTAGGTAAAATGTTCAGCCAGACAACCATTTGCCGCTTCGAGGCCCTGCAGCTGAGCTTCAAGAACATGTGCAAGCTGAAGCCCCTTCTCCAGAGGTGGCTGGATGAGGCAGAGACCTCGGAAAATCCTCAGGATGTAAGTTTGCAACTCTGACATCTGCCAACTAGTTTACAAGACAATGATGATCCCTGGGCCTGGTGGTGGTGGTGGTTGGTCTTTTCAGGCTGGACTAAGCCTCCTGCTGAGAAACCCAAACCAAGGCCATCTGCTGTAGAGATGTGTAGTGCTCCATCTAGTGGCAGTGGTTTGGCCGGTTGGTCACCTCCATACATGGATGACCGTCCATTTAGTACACAAGCTGCCCAACTTCTACTTCACCTCCACCTCCTCAAAGCACTGAACTTTCATGATCCCTAATCAACATATTTCTTCTTTAGATGTACAAGATTGAGCGAGTGTTTGTTGACACCAGGAAGAGGAAGCGGAGGACCAGTCTGGAGGGAGCCGTGCGCTCTGCTCTAGAGTCCTACTTCATCAAGTGTCCCAAGCCCAACACCCAGGAGATCACGCACATCTCAGATGACCTGGGCCTGGAGAGAGATGTAAGCACAAACTCTTCAAGTTCTGTTGAGGTTTTCTTTTCAAAACACATAGAGCTGGTTTGAATAACTAACGGTGTTCTTCGGCAGGTGGTGCGCGTTTGGTTCTGCAACCGAAGACAGAAGGGAAAGCGTCTGGCCTTGCCGCTGGATGAGGAGTGTGACGGCCAGTTCTATGAGCAGAGTCCTTCGCCCATGAGCATCGCCCCGTCCCCTATCCCCAACCAGGGCTACCCAGGTGCTGGCTACCCTGGAGCCCCTCCTCCTACACTCTATATGCCCCAGCTTCACCGCCCGGATGTCCTGAAACAAGCCCTGCACCCCGGACTGGTTAGTCACCTGACTGGATAAACCGGCGGCAGTAACAGCCAGAACCACAGATTGCTCCCTCCCCTCCTAGCCTCTGTTCAACCCCTAACACATGCTGCTGGAAATGTGCTCTACATCCAGTAACCAGATTGAAAAATCACATGGGTTCATGGGATTGAAACACGAAGGAGTGGGATGGAGCAAAGTGGTTTCCTGCTTCCCATATGATGATGAAACTACACGAGCTGCCATGGGTCAACTCGCCCATGACCTGCACCTCACACCAACTGCTCTGGTATCAAACCAAAAGAAATCTTTAAACTGAATGTTATTGAATGTGCCTTTCTCTATTATTATTATTTTTTGTGTGTTCTTGCATCGTGCTTGGTAAGTTGAGGCTTTAATCGCTGCAGGTTGAGAACAAAAGTTAGGTACCGCAGTATGTGATCCAGATCAGGAACGAGGATGGGGTTGTGAACGCTCACAGGGTTAAAGAGTCGGGCCTAATTCCTGGATAGGTTTTCTGTGGCGCAGACAAGTGAGAATCTGGGTTGCCAATGTAATCAAAATGTGAGGGATACCTCCTTAAACAGTATTCATTTTTGACAGTTGAGTCAATATTTGTGCAATACTTCTGCATCCCATCTGAATAGAGTAGCTGTACTAAACTGTCACTGCAATTGAAAATGCTCTTTTAAGAAGCAATTTCAAACAAATCTTTTGCACAGTTACTTTTATAATGTTGAAAACAATCTTTAAAAAAAAAAAAAAGAAAAGCCATGTTTGAAACTTTTTTCCTTATATTGATTGTCATTGACTTAAGTGAATATTTGAAGTATTAATGTGGGGATGGGGAGATTCAATGCAATATTGAGGGAGTGTTTTTGTCAGTATTATCTTTAGTGTCTCGTCTGGTGCTGGTGGAAACCTCGAGCAAGCTGTTGCCTCAGTTTGTTTTTATTGTTGGGTTTTATGTTGATGTTGAATAACACTACTGAAAGTCTGAGTGCTTATTGGATTTTATGAAGTCAGTTTTATAAGTGATGATGGTAAATGTCATGTATTTTAAATCAACTTCAGTTTTGTTGTTCTTTCTTTTTTTTTATTTACTCCTGCAATTTGTTTTTGCCCAGAATTACTTCAGTATTAATTGTTACCCATCTTACCTTTTGAGTTAATGCTCCTGTCTTGAATATTTACCGTTAACAGTGCAATCATAATTGTTAGACTCAAGCTGTTAGTTTTTAGTGAGAGTAGTGAGATTGTATATGGATTAATATATTAATATCAACAACAATGACACATTTTCACTTAAAACACCCTGAACCTTAAATGTTTGTCTACATCAAGGACATTTGCCTTTTTCTCTGTAATTTTCTTTGTTTTGTATTTGGAATCTACTGAATTCTTTTTCTCAGTAAACTTTTACCACATCTATGAAAAGAAAATTTTGCTGTTGCTGTGTTGTTTTTTTTTTTTTTAGTTAAATATGGGTGTACTCTACAAAACCAACACTGGTTTGACTGCAGAAACAGAACTAAAATAATGCAGTCAACACTGGGTACAGTAACTGGAAACCCCACCCGTTTTACATACGATTGGGGAAGTGGAGCGTCGTCTATATAACACCGACTTCACAGGATTCCCCGTAGACTCAGACAGTAAACAATGTTTATTGGTAATCGAAGAAAACCACGAAATCAAGATGGTCGACAGACCAAAACATTAAATGAAAGTCATCAAAAATCAAACACAGTAGAGGTGGAAGAAAAAAAAAGACATCAGGTCAAAATTTACTTTATAAAATGAATCAACGTTTCCCCATTTAAATGCTTTACAGTACAATGACAATATGCAATTGGTTAGATTTACAGGACACATATTTTCTTCTACTAAACACTGACACTGCAGCTGCATTAGTGCACTTTAAATCCGGTGACTTTGCCCCGTTAGTAATAGATATGTAAAATGATTTTACTTTTTTATTGATCAGTTTTTCAAATAAGTTCTTAATGCTCCTCCTAACTACAAGAAAGATCAACATGGAACCAACTGCAACCTTGATTCTTAAACTTTAAAGGAGCAGACCATTACTTTAAAGGTCCAGTGTGTAGGATTTAACCAAATAAACAACTGTTGCTTCACTCTTCTTTTCCAAGTGTGTATAGAATAATCTACAGTAGCTCCCAAGAACATAAAAGGCCTTCTTTAAAGCTGAACCTTTGTAGTGCAACATGGTGGACTCACTGGAAAAGGATCTGCACCTAGTAGATATACATCTTAGGTAACAAAAGCACAGCTCTTGTTTTTTCATGAGATTATACACTAGTGAAAACATAATATAGCCTATAGAGCAGGTGACCCATAAACAGGGGCTTTAGTTCTCCTACACTTTGGTTGTGGGTTCAACTCCCGCCCA